TCAAAAGGTGAGGTGTCCTACTACTCCAACAAACTACCCATGATTGAGTAACTGCCAGCACAAGAAGAACAAAAAGGAAACTTTGGCAAGGGGAACACACGACCAGCCCTACTCAAACATCTGCAAATTTTCATACTTTGATTTCTTTTGCACATGCTTCCAGATTTCGATTTTTAGCACAGACTTCGTATTCCAACACAGATTCCATTAGAATTAGGTTGTTTTTCATCATTCCAGTAGACAAATTAATTCCTATATTCAGTTAAACAATTTCCTTTCATGCAATGAACTTCAATCCTTCAAGTTTATGCAAGGTATTGTTTTCTTTTCATTTGTAATTAATTTAATGTTTATGTTAAGTAGCATTGCTTCAATGATTACTTATGTGGCTTCTATGCTTCTTTCCAATTTCAAGTTCTTCAATTTCTTCACTGTTCATGTTTAAATTTTAGTATTAATTTAGGAGTAAATTTCCAGTTCTGCAGCAATTTAATTTCTGAATCTGTCAATAGATTGCATTTTAATTTTACAATGAACATGTTTAGTTTAATTTGGGCACAGCTTTTTCTCGCAAATTTACTTTAAATTGCAGGTAATTTAGAGTAATTAGGATCTGTTAGTTTTAAGTCACGGTAGTGTTTTAAGTCCTTGGAGTTGTCCAAGGCAGATTTCGTAACTCATTCTGCAGGAAGGTATCCCTCCCTCTTGCAAATCGTTTAAAGGCGCAATTTCAATTTTAATCCAACGTTATTCCCGCCATCTGTGAAGAGGTTGACCGTGAGAAAGGAGAGGGTCGTTGGGAAAGTCCTCATTTCTTACTTTCAGCAAAGTAAGTGGCACGCCCGCAACCAGATTTCACACGTGTGAGGCCACTAGAGGATTTTTGAGGAAACAATTTCTAAATTTTAAATTAAATTTTAATTAAATAAAATAATGTCTTATAAGGTTAAAACTCTATTTTTTTTTTTTTTTGAATTTAGGGAATTTTAGGGGATGAGAAGTAGTGCCTCATTAATGAACTTAAGACTTCATATGGCAC